ATGGAACAACAAGGCAGTGATAATAAATAATGACATTTCTGTATTTGTCTGAACTATCCCTTTATACATTTCTTCTCCATTCTTGCAGTAATTTTAAGCTGCTGAGCAACTCACAGCAGTGGTGAAGTGTCAGACAGAGACATGATGAAGCTAAATATAGACTGGGTTTAAACCCAGTAAAGACAGACTTCTCTGTGATGCGGACCTGTGAGGATTTAAGTGCGAATGACAAAGACCCCTCATGATTTGTGTGGGCACACATACACACACCTCCTTAGTAATATCCGTTGCTGATGTCTCCACGGCACAAGAGATTACTCTCTCTGCGGATGAGCTTTACTTCTGCGCTTCTAACAGCTCAGCAGAGTCTCACAGTCAGCTCACTTTCATCTCAGCCCGTCTGTGCCCGTCTGTGGGTCCACACATGCAGCTAAAGAGGATTTCTGCTCTTTCCTACAGAAGCTCGCAAGCTATCTGACCTGCAGAGGTTTTATGACTTATGCTCCATAAAGTTTGCAGCTAAGAGAAGTCATATATTCTGCTAATGCTGGTTATGATTATTGAAAAGATTGCTGCCTACTACCTCCTAAATAAATAAATAAATAAAATGGAAATAAGGACTATAATAATACATTTGTTGAGGTTTATGCTTTAGGTCAACATGAAGTCGCAACACACCTTATAACTAGCCAGCCCAATTCGTTCCATTTAAAGAAGGATCATTATTGCATTTCGATACAGTGTTAAGAAGTCAAATATTTTTATTTGAAATAATTTGCACCAATGACTTGTGCCGAATAAGACCAGAAACATGTATTGATTGGCTGACTAAATTTGCATTAACGAGCTGTTGAAGAGGTGTAATAAAGTGGCCGGTGTGTGCATGTGAGTATTGGTCTTAATTTGTTACATTAATAACTAACTAAATAAATAAATATCTTATGCACTTTCACTTAGGTCATTTTTGTCCTGTTTGGGTGTTTAGATACTGGAAAACAAGACAAAGTTAGTGATTAAGAAACCTATTGTGGCAGTGTATGGATTAAAACTTAGCTTGATGTTTCACCAATAGCAGTATTTCACCAATATTTCATGCTGGCTAAAGACACATTTCAGAAAGGGTATAACAGTCAACTACAAACAGAATGATCAAGATATAATACCCGCAAGAGTAATTGAGTAAATAATACTGATTTCACACGAGCAGAATACCTAAAGAAAAGGGCTGTGCGGTAGGAGAAAAAACAAAGGATTTCAACAGTAATCCTTTCTCTTTGTTGTATGAAAGTATGCAAGAGTGTGTGTGTGTTTGTGCAATGTTTATCTCATCCAGTGTGTGGATGTCAGAGAGAGAAAGAGGGAGAGAGATTGTGTGTGTGTGTGTGTGTGTGTGTGTGTGTGTGTGTGTGTGTACGCAGCTCTCCTGCATCCTGTAGGGATAATCATCAGCTAGACAGCACTCACCCTACATGCTCCTACACACACACAACCAGGATGGAGCAGAACCAGACAGGAAGTTTGTTTGTGTGTGTGTGTGTGTGTGTGAAAAAGAAATAATAAATGAGCTTTAGAAAGGCGTGGGGGTGGTGAAAGAGGCAGGGTCGGGACTCGATCTCACCAAATGGGTGAAAAACACAAACTGAAGGATTGGTGTATTCACTTGCATTTCCCCTCCAGTGCAATCTAAGCATTATCCTAGTTTGAGGGGCAAACATGGTTTTTCATAAAAAAAGACACTAATGTAACATGAATATGGTTTAAAGAATCTTATCAAAATTTAGTCAACAACGCGTTTTAATCATCTGTGTAACTACATATTCAGGATTAGAAGGACTGAACCAGGGGTGTGTCTAAGGGGGGCACGGGGTGGCAAATGTATACCCGCTAAATTGTAGCATTCTTTACATGAAACATTATATAAAAAAATCACAGACAACATGTTCACATTCATTGCAAAATTCAAACGGGATTAGAAAATAAATATTTTCTCTCATTCACTTGCATTGGCGATTTTTCAACCTAGAGGTCCAGCGGGGCTGAAGGGGCGGGGTTCTATATTGATCAATCTTGCCATTTCTGTCCAATAAAATGCTCTCTTGAATGTCCCCTCCAATCAGCAAGCAAAATGCTATTGTCTATTTAAATAAAAACACCAACTTACTGTTTTAAAAGTTCACGTATTTCATCCACAACATAAAAATACTTTCAGGTTTTTATTTCCAGTTTTATATTCAGTTTGTTGTTGGCTTGATATACTTTAGTAATATAACATTCTTTGATTTTCAATGAATTATATTTCAAATTTGAAATCCTTTTAGCTACCTCAATTCAAATAATGCAAACTAATCATCAAAACAGATTGTGCTTACTCCCTAGCTAGCATTATGCTCGTGAATTAGCTAATTACCAGCATATGTTCTTTTCCTTCTGATAGCTGTTGTAGACACCGCACAGCACTCATTCGCTGCGATGAGTTTATCAACCACATTTAAGCACTATATGCAACTCCAAAGAACTGCTAATGAAGAACACATGGGGCTAGTGTAGCATTACCAGTCTTTGGTAGACCACAGGGTAATAAAGTTAGCCGCTAATGCTAAGAGAGAGAGTTAAGAGTTTTAAGGACTAGAGTGCAATATGGAGGTCAACTGGACAAGAAAGCTACATCAAATGTAGCTTTGACCCTGTCAGTGAACGACAACCAACTGCATTGATACAGAAGGACTCAAATGGACGTGTTGCCAAGTGGCACTTTTGGAAAAAGCAGTGACTGAAAACTAGAGCAAGGCTCCCGTCGTGAAAGAGGAAAGCCAAAGGCGATGATGTCACTCCCTAAAAACAATGCCTCATTCAGGCAGACTGGGGGGCAGGAAGCTGCTAGTCATTTAAAACTGGGGAGAAAAAAAACGACAACATCTGCTGCTGCGTCCAGTCCAGATGGATGCAGAGAGAGAGAGAGAGAGAGAGACGGCAGCTATATTAGACAATCCTTCACTGGCTCCCAGAGGTGGAAATCTTTCCTCTTGGATACTGGCTCAGATCCGTGAAATATAAAGAAGTTTCCAGTCGCTGTGTGATACTCTCTTCAAAACAGACATGATAGGCTACCCTTCTAAATGGCTTATTCGAAAAATGTGCTTACACTCAAAAAAAAAAATGCTGGGCTGTTTCTGTAAAGAAATTGTTGGGTTGATTGTGCTGGGTCAAAATCTTGGGTCGTTTGAGGCACTGTAAACACATTCTTGGGTGCTGGGTCAAATGAGTTGTAAGGGGCGTCATACACAAATCTGACGATATTACTGCAAATTGATATTCCGATAATGCTTGCAAGTTTCACCACACTTTCAAAACTTTATCTGAAACAGCGCTGTCAAAATTGTATTATGTTGGTTGTTGTACGTATCACGGCAGTTTAGAAATTAAATTTATAGTGAGTGGCGTCAAAAAAGGTATGCTCTGTTGCGTTTGAAAAAAACTTACTGCCTACACTAACCATACAAATAAGAACATAAGAAAACGTGACATTAAATTGCATTTGCTGGAGTAACTATGACACATTAGCTTGCTGTTTTATCGTAAACTGCATTTCACGGGTCTCTAAGCTCTTTCTGGGCAACTGAGCAAGTTCACTACATCAGAAAAGCCAAACATATGGAGCTGGTTATGTGATGTGAAAATGTATTAGTTTAACAAATCATGCACTAAAGGCCATTGCACACTGAGTCCGAAATTCGCGTCCGAAATTTCCGCACGTTATGTCAATCACGCTTGCACACTGCCTCCAAAACTTTCATCCGTCATAAAAATTTTTAGTTTTTTCTGCGTTTTTCGCAACTGTAGTTTTTCGCAACTGTAACTGTAGCAGTTTGAATGGTGTTTTGAAAATTCAGAGCCACCGAATCATGAATACGGAAGAACACACGAAAATTTCAGCGAAACGATCGCTCATTTAAAAAAAAAAAAAAAAAAAGTTTAAGTTTTATAAGCTCAAATGCTCGCCTTGCTCTGTTCTGTGATGTGCGTTCGTGACTCTCCTGTTCGAACTCGTTCATCAAAATGAATGAATCTTTTTCCGAGTCAATTCGTTCATTTTGTTCGTTGAATGAACCAAATGACATGAAAAAAGATTCGTTCATTTTGATGAACGAGTTCGAACAGGAGAGTCACGAACGTGCATCCCAGAACAGAGCAAGGCAAGCATTTGAGCTTATAAAACCTAAACTTTGTTAATTTTTTAAATGAGTGATCGCTTCGCACTGAAACTGTCTTTTGGACTTTGAACCGTTTGGTGCCCAATGAAGTCCATTATATGGAGAAAAAAATTATAATTATACAATTATACATTAAACAAATTAGCTGGTTTTGGGCTGGTAAATAATAGCGCAAATACCAGAAAATGTACTAGCGCAAATCTTAATAAATCACCTTGCATTATTTCAATTTTGCATCTAAGAAGGGAAGCTCCTACAAATACATATGCAACAAGGTCGGCCACAAAAATAACTGTCCACGACTTTTTCACTGTGTGTCTTTACTAAATTCTGATGCCAAACGAGGGTTTGCGCTGGCGCAAGCTGTTAGTAAACCTGACCCTAACTGTTTTGAGGTCACAGTTTTAGCAGTGTGCAAGAAACCGTGAGGAAAGAAGTCTTTTTAATTGATAATCTGCCACGTAATCATAATCTGTGTGAAAAGGAATGTTGTTGGTGTTGGTGTTTTACAACCACAGAGTTCATTTCATCTGGAAACTGCAGTGAATTGTTTGTAAGTGTATGTTTTGCGACTCATTTTTTCCATCCAGCCTAAGGTGCTCATATCTACTCAGTTCTGACGGTACATCAGAGTAACAATTAGCAAACAGTCATTGACAGTGGATCTTGACTCCATTCCAGATGAGCCATTGTCAGTGATAGCATGAAACTTGTTGCTCACTAGTTTGAGAGCAGGTGCTGCATGCCATCTACTGGACAGGCCAAGCAGGAGATTTAATGCATCCTTACCTGATAGAGTTTGGCATCGTTCCTCCACTCTCTCCGTTCCCAGACAGCTCAATGTGGAACCCATTAGGGATGCTCCATTGTGCCGGCTGGCTCAAGACATTTTCCGACCTGCTTCCTGGTATAGTGGTCCGTAGTGGACTCGCAGAGCTGGCTTCATCCCTTGCCGTCTCTGTCCCCAGATCTGCCTCGCCCTCAGCCCCTTCCTGCACGGTCTCCAGCTCCAGTTCTGGAGTTTCGGGACCCATGAGGGCCCTCTGCTGGATGAGAGGGGTGAGCGGCGCCTCGAAGCTGACGCAGCTGTCCGTCTCGTCTGTGAGCGACAGCACGTCCAGAGAATCCAAACTGCTGTAGCAGGTCCCGCCTCTCAGAAGCTCAGACTCGACGATGCGCTCGAACGTGGAGCTGAAACCGTCCTGGCTCTCTTTCGTCCTGTCGTACTCTTCCTCTCCGTCGTCCTCTTCCTCCTCCACAGCCGTGGCCTTGGCGACCCGCTCGACGATGCTCTCAAACGTAGAGCTGAAACTGTCCTGATTTCCAGTCTCCCTTTCCTCCTTGTCTTCTTCGTCCTCTACCTCAGCATCCGCTTCCTCTACGGAGAGCTCAAATGTGGAGCTGAAGGCATCTAGGTTCCCCTGCGCTAAAGAGTCTTCCGGGATCCCCTCCTCGTCCTCCTGCCCTTCGCTGTCATCTTCGGTCCCGTTCTCAAACCTGCAGTGACAAAGACGCCGGTTAAAGCATTCGTAGAGGTAAAAATCCAATCGCACACCTGGTTACAGAGGTCTGGCTCTACACAAAGGCTCTTAGCCTATCTTTATTCAGACTGCCGTCACAGTTCTTCATCATGACTGCAGAGTGGGAGTCCCAGCAGAGGGAAGCTTCATTCAGGACAGCTCCCCTGCCACATATGGTGCCCAAAATATCTCCCCATCCTCATTGTAACATGCATGCCACATCATTTGTGAAGGCTGACACTGAAAAACCGCACAGCTAAACTCGTTTGTACGACATGACAAGCCTGGCATTGTAAAATTTGTTGTTGTCTTGTCTTTCATGGGGTTACAATGATCGTCTTGGGGTCTATTCTGAATCCAGCCAGATTGTTTTCTTGGAAGATCATTAGGATGTCTTTTGGAAGTCAGTTTTAGTCGTTTAGGGCTTTTGTTTCAATCACATAGAAAGTTGAAATTAGAATTGGAGTGACAGGAAAGGAAATTTACTGAATTGCAAATCAACAATCTACTTTTGACTGTAAATGTTGCTGTCAAAGGCTGATGTGCATTATTAAGTATGTTTACCAGTGCAGTTACAGTCATCATCTGTCTGTTCAAGTAGGGCTGGTCACCGATTAATCGCATTCAAAATAAAAGTTTGTGTTTACATAATATATGTGGGTGCACTGTGTATAATTAATTTGTATATAAATACCCAGACATGCATGTATATATTTAAGAAAAATGTGTTATTTAATATCAAATAGCTATAAAATATTTCTATTTAATATGAATTATGTATAAATATATATACATGCAAATATTTCTTAAATATATACATGCATGTGTGTGTATTTATATATACAAATTAATTATACACACTACACCCACATATATTATGTAAACACAAACTTTTATTTTGGATTAATCACGATTAATCGTTTGACAGCCCTAGTGTCCAAGTAAACAGTGATATTGTGAACTATTTTTTTTACAAATTTCTATTTGAATAAAAATGTAATTTACTCCTGTGATGCAACAGCATTATTACTCCATTCTTCAGTGTCAGATGATTCTCTCAGTAATCATTCTAATATGCCGTTTTGATTCTCAAAAAAAAGTATTATTAATTTTTAAAACAGTTGTGCCGTTTAATATTTTTGAGAAAACCATGATCCATATTCTTCAGGATTCTCTGTTAAATAAACAGTTCAAAAGAACAGCCTTTTTTATGCTGAAATCTTTTATAAATGATGATAAAAATGATATAAATGATATCAAATGATGAATGGTTGTGTTATACATGCGCTACCTCTTTTTTTAAGGGAGTAGTTCACGCTTAAAAAAAAAACTTTTGCTTTTTTTTTTTGCTTTTGCTAATTCACTCACCCCCATGTCATCCAAGATGTCCACGTCTTTCTTTCTTCAGTCAAAAAGAAATTAAGGTTTTTGATGAAAACATTCCAGGATTTTTCTCCATATAATGGACTTCAATGGGAACCAAATGGTTCAAGGTCCAAAAAACTGTTTCAGTGCAAACTGTTCAAAGGGCTTTAAACGATTCCAGACAATGAATAAAGGTCTTATCAAGCAAAACGATCACTCATTTAAAAGTGTCATTTGGTTCATTCAACGAACGAAATGAACAAAATGAACGAATTGACTCGGAAAAAGATTTGTTCATTTTGATAAACGAGTTCGAACAGGAGAGTCACGAACGCTCATCACAGAAGAGAGTAATGCGAACATTTGAGCTTATAAAACTTCAACTATTTTTTTTTTTAAATGAGCGATCGTTTCGCTTGATAAGACCTTTATTCATCGTCTGGAATCGTTTAAAGCCCTTTGAACAGTTTGCACTGAAACTGTCTTTTGGACCTTGAACCGTTTGGTTCCCATTGAAGTCCATTATATGGAGAAAATCCTGGAATGTTTTCATCAAAAACCTTAATTTCTTTTCGACTGAAGTAAAAAAGACTTGGACATGTTGGATGACATGGGGGTGAGTAAATTATCAGCAAAAAGGTTTTTTTCATTAAAGATGAATTATTGCTTCAGTCTGACAGAAATCAAAGCTTTAAATTGCATGTAAAAGTCATTCTTCTTTTACTAACCTCAGACAGCACAGGGGCTTGGCTGAGTCCTTTTCTGGGCTCTGAGGCGGCAGAGACTGTGTGTCTTCACCTTCACGGGTGTCCCCGTTCCCGTTTTCTGTTACAGGATCCACGCAGCTGCCCTCAATCCCACCGTTTCTACCTTCCTCTTCTAATGTCACCGTCTCATCCTCCTTTTCCCTGGACTGTGTGTTTCGGTTATTCTCTGTTTCTTTGTCTTCTGCTTCACCTTGATGCTCCTCCTCTGTCTTTGTTCCATTACAGGGCTCCAGATCTTTAGCCTTAGAGCCGTCAGCATCTTCTTCTCCTTCAGGTGCTGGGGGGGTATCTGGAGGTGGGCTGTCTGTGCGGAGGGGGTCATGCTGCCCCTCCTGACTCATGGTGGCCTCCTCAATCACGATGTCCTGGCAGCCTGGGGTCACAAGGTCAGGGTCAGGAACAAGGGAGAGGGTCAAAGTTCACACCTATTAAAGATGAAGATAAGACAGAGCAATGAGATGTCAGATAAAGATAAAAATACAGTAATGCATTATGATTATAAATAATCTTCTACATATAAACAATTGAGGCAATTGTTCACTTTACCAGGCATGATGCAATAAAGCGACAGGACATTCTGCAAATTGTTTCATTTTTATTTATATGATGTCCCTCAGTGCAGACCTGCCTACTGAAGGCATTGATCCAAAATCACACACACAGTCAGACACATGTTCCAGGCTATGGAAAGACATATTGCATGTCAGTCACACCTGGTTAGGACATGAAAAATGAAATTGGATAAATCATTTTGGCCTTAAAGGGACCCTATTATGGATTTTAGAAAATTACCTTTGATGTAGTGTGTAATATAGCTCGAAGTGAATGAAAACGTCCTGCAAAGTTTTACATCTAAAAGTGCACCATGTATTACTGTCTTTCAAAAGTAAGAGTCGAGTCATACGCCGTTTCGTGACATGAGCATATTGCCCGCCCACTTATTATAAAACTTTCTCTAGTCTCTAACTGTACATTTTGATATCTTGAAAAATCTGAAACTCTAAAAGAGACTTGTGAGATTACAGGGGTCTTTTGCTCAGGAGAAAAAAAATAGTAAGAGTAAGAAAAAGTAAGAGACTTAAGCAAAAGCCTAATTTTGCTCTCTATTTAATCTCAAAGCTGTCTGGGAGAAACAACTGAGATATGAAAGAGATTTCATTTGTGAATTTTCAAATGTGCCCGGGAAGCGAGCGAGCCCACGGATCGCTGCACATTATGGATGATATTAAGCATCCTGAAGACTGAAGCAGTCAGGTGGCACTGGCAAGATCTTAAAAGTTTAAACAGCGATTCAGACTCCATTATCTGCTGTCAACTTTGTGTTTTATCAGCCCTGCAGACGTGCAGACCGTTGAGAACGCATTAGCTTTGACTCAGCAAACCTCCACTGATTTATCACGAGTACAACACAGACCAGAAGGAACTCTCATCAACTGAGGGTGAATTTAAGGGTCAGTCTGAGTCTAATTTTAAATTCTGCTCTGAGGAATCTTCCCTAAACTCGGTGGGCGAGGACAGATGTTCAGTGGCACATTACGGCATGGTTAAAGTCAGCATTCACCAACCCGTTTAACTTCTGTAATACAACAGGATATTCAGTGAATACAAATGGACAAAACTTGACTTTATCCATTAGATGTTAAAAAGAGGGCATTACATAACAGAAAAGCATCAGCCAAACATGGGAAGATCGGATCATTTCTAACTTGAATCTTTGAATCTCGTTCAGCAAAATGAACTAATCTTTATACATGTCATTTTGTCAATTTGAGCGAAGTTCAATTAAAATATATTTTCAATAGCAAAGTCCCTGAGCACGCCAAGTTTAATCATAATCAAAATTTTAGAAAATCATTATAATGCAGCTAAAGACATATTATGAGAAACAAATTCGCCTTTCGTTCATTTGTCACGTTACACATGCAAAACGACCCATGAGTGGAGAAAGTTATTCCATTTTGATAAAAGATTCAAATTCGCATTTGTTATAATGTGGTCAAAGGAATCTTGCATAGGATCACACTCTAAAAAATGCTGGGTCGTTTTAACCCATCTTTGGGTCAAATATGGACAAACTCAGCAATTGGGTTAAATGTTTAAATTACATTTTTAACCCAACATTTGGGTTTGTCTATATTTGACCCAAAGATGGGTTAAAACAACCCAGCATTTTTTAGAGTGCAAGAATGTGTTTTTTAGAAAGGAAAAATGGTCTATTTTAAAATTTGAGTCGATTGAAACTGAAACTTGTAGTTTCCTTGCCACTAGAGGAACCAAAAGAACCAATATAATAACCACATATGTCATACAGCTATCCAGAACACTGCCTCCATCTCTCATTGGTCGATCAAACAAATAGTCCCGCCCAAATCTCGCATCATTGTTTGAGACAATACCTCTTTTGTGCTGCAGAATGCTCAACAAAGAAAGATCACGATATTGTTTGTAACTTATAGTTAACCATTTGTAGTCTGATGCTCTTTTTCTGGGGAATCAGCATAAAAATAGTTAAACTAAACTACCGTTTAAAAGTTTAGGGTTCGTAAGATTTTTTTTTTTCCCCCACATTTTTGAAAGAAGTCTCACCAAGGCTGCGTTAATATCATCAAAAATACAACAAAAACTGTGATATAGTGAAATGTTATTACAATTTAAAATAACAGTTTCCCAATTTCATTTTTTTTTATATCGAATTTATTCCAGTGATGCAAAGCTGAATTTTCAGCATCATTACTCCAGTCTTCAGTGTCACATGATCTTTCAGAAATCATACTAATATTCTGATTTGCTGCTTAATATTTTGAGGAAAACAAGATAAATCCTTTAATCGAAATAAAAATCCTTCGTAACATTATAAATGTATTTACTGTCCCGTTTGATCAATTTAATGCATCCTTGCTGAATAAGTCTCTGAATAAAATTCTTGCTGAATAGGATCCCAAACTTTTGAACAATAGTGTGTAGTTGTTTCCAGCCCGTTCTCATCCCAAGGCGTCACCTAGCTGACGCTTTTGACCATGCGTCTTAATCCGACGCGCATGGCACCCTTTAGCGTCAATATGAGTCGCGCCTCCTAGTGGTCTAACCCTAACCCTACCCCAGACCTAAACCTACCCGCGTCATCTAACTGACGTGAAAGGTTGCCATGTGCGTCGGATTTAGACGCATGGTCAAAAGCATCAGTTAGATGATGCCCGAAGATGAGCGTCATCTAATTGACGCTAAAGGTTGCCATGTGCGTCGGATTTAGACGCATGGTCAAAAGCATCAGATGATGCCCGAAGATGAGTGTCATCTAATTGACGCTAAAGGTTGCCATGTACGTCGGATTTAAACGCATGGTCAAAAGCATCAGTTAGATGATGCCCGAAGATGAGCGTCATCTAATTGACGCTAAAGGTTGCCATGTACGTCGGATTTAAACGCATGGTCAAAAGCATCAGTTAGATGATGCCCGAAGATGAGCGTCATCTAATTGACGCTAAAGGTTGCCATGTGCGTCGGATTTAGACGCATGGTCAAAAGCATCAGATGATGCCCGAAGATGAGCGTCATCTAATTGACGCTAAAGGTTGCCATGTACGTCGAATTTAGACGCATGGTCAAAAGCATCAGTTAGATGATGCCCGAAGATGAGCGTCATCTAATTGACGCTAAAGGTTGCTATGTACGTCGGATTTAAACGCATGGTCAAAAGCATCAGTTAGATGATGCCCGAAGATGAGCGTCATCTAATTGACGCTAAAGGTTGCCATGTACGTCGAATTTAGACGCATGGTCAAAAGCATCAGTTAGATGATGCCCGAAGATGAGCGTCATCTAATTGACGCTAAAGGTTGCCATGTACGTCGGATTTAAACGCATGGTCAATAGCATCAGTTAGATGATGCCCGAAGATGAGCGTCATCTAATTGACGCTAAAGGTTGCCATGTACGTCGGATTTAAACGCATGGTCAAAAGCATCAGTTAGATGATGCCCGAAGATGAGCGTCATCTAATTGACGCTAAAGGTTGCCATGTACGTCGAATTTAGACGCATGGTCAAAAGCATCAGTTAGATGATGCCCGAAGATGAGCGTCATCTAATTGACGCTAAAGGTTGCCATGTACGTCGGATTTAAACGCATGGTCAAAAGCATCAGTTAGATGACGCCCGAAGATGAGCGTCATCTAATTGACGCTAAAGGTTGCCATGTACGTCGAATTTAGACGCATGGTCAAAAGCATCAGTTAGATGATGCCCGAAGATGAGCGTCATCTAATTGACGCTAAAGGTTGCCATGTACGTCGGATTTAAACGCATGGTCAAAAGCATCAGTTAGATGACGCCCGAGGATGAGCGTCATCTAATTGACGCTAAAGGTTGCCATGTGCGTCAGATTTAAGCATCAGTTAGATGACGCTCTAAGATGAGAATGCGTTGTTGTTTCTGCATATCAAGTTCATTAAAGGGTGGTTTGAAATTCATTTTCAGAGCCTTTGCTATGGGGCTCTGCTTAGTTTAATACTCATTCACCAGATGAAGCCAAGTGGACAGACATACAAACACAGGCTGGAATATAAACAGCACACATTTACAGAAAAACCTTGTCCCTGGCAGAGGAACAGTCTAACAGAGTTAAATGTGAAGCTCAACCGCTTTCTTCTGCTGCCCTGACTCAGGCGGGGGCCATTTAAAGCTTTCTAATGCCGAACATCCGATCGAAACAAACCGCAGTAAAACCCTAGTTTCCATTACATTAAAGCTCTTTAGCCCAAACTGCCATTGCATTAGGTAACAAATGAAATCTCTTTATGTCTATATTCAGTGCTGTCAGACAGAACACACACCAATTCATCTTAGCAGTTACGCGTTATTTCAATTGAATTAGGTCAACGGTGCATGACTTAGTATCATTGTAATCTTTACCCCGTTATCTTTCCAAAAAGGCCTATACCCCCCTAAACGCTTGCAACAAGGGGATGTACACACTGTCTGACAGCACCACACAGAACATTTTGATGTGACATTTAGCAAAAGAAAGTTACCTTTGCCCTGTGCTCCTCATTCAAACACACGTGGTTAATGTTTGACATTCTGCATGGGTGCTCAGTACCCAAAGTCCATCCCAGCTGCAGATGATGTTTTCACATCAAGACTCACATGCATCATACACAAACACACACTCAGGCTCAGCTGCTGTAAAGTACCCTGTTGTCACACAAACTATTCCTGAGAGCCGCAGCGATCTGTAACTGCCAGATATACCCATAATTCCTAGAGCAGCCGCACACGCCTACTTAATAAATGACTAGTCACTCGCTGGGGGTGTATGAGTGTGACGTATGTTTGTATGTGTCAATATTTGCCAGTATCTGTAGTAACAACAGGGCTTACAAATATATATATATCTTTGCTGTCCAACTATGTTTTTACACATCTGCCATATGTAATTTGGAAACAGTATCCGTTTAAGAGGAACGAAAAATATTCATGTTGACTCAATTTAAAAAAATTTGGTAAACCAAATTTTTAAAAGATTACATTGATTACATTTAATGAAATTAAGCTGGAATCACTTCTATGAAGGATTGTGTCATATATGCTAATTTTAATTAATGAAATTGAACAAAGAGCTAAAATATTTTTTTTGAGTGTATGGTCACCTTACAAATTAATAGATATATTAAATAGATATATTAATATGTGACAACAATTTTAAACAAAAAATGTAAGATAGAGAAAGTCAGGTATTTCATAGATTCAAAAAATGGCAAATAAATGTGTGGGGTTTTTTTTTTTGTGAGAACATGCATCCACAAATATATTTCTTTTTTACATATTTATTTACATATCAGAAATATTCAAAGAGTATGACCCCAAAATTTTGAAAGGTGGCTCAAAATATTTCTATAATCTTTCAATATATCTTAATCTGTACTATATTCAGTGTAGGGAGTATTGTTATTTTTTTCATGCCCCTAAATGCAACAATTTTTCTTTACCATTTTTTTTTTTTTTTTAGCAATGCATTTTTGTATTTGCTAGAGATTTTTTATTACATTTTTAAAATTTATTTCATTAAAATAATTTTTAATTCATAAAGTAAATTCATAAACCCACTTTTGCTGGAAAACAACATAACAGCATATGACTGGTTTAACACAATTCCTCACAAAAACAATCACCAATATAACAATAAAAAGCAAACATTTGGATGTACAAGATTAATGAATATAAAAATTGTCTAATAAGACCAAGTGACCATTCTGTCAAACGACCCAAAATGTGCTCCCACACTTGTCCCGGGCCAACAGGCCGCCCTTATTGTTGGCATTAAGAATCATGGATGTCCTCAATTTGAAAAATATTCATAAATAATGACTTTTAGGGGGCAGCGTTAAGGGTTTGGGCATCATTATTAGCTTTATATAAAAACAACATAAAGTACAGTGTGTCTCATAGTGTACATGTGTGTGTGTGTGTGTGTGTGTGTGTGTGTGTGTGTGTGTGCGCACTCGACTGATTGACTGAGAGACTTCCAGTACTGTCAGCAGAACAGTAGGGTCTTCAGGGCGATCAATTCTGTTTAATTACTTTCACTGGATCTGTCTGTCACCTTCACTCTTTACACTACACACACCGGCACTCATGTGTCTACAAACACACACAGTCACTGATAAACTTAAAGAAGGGCTTTATCTTCAAACCAACACACAATCCTCAACTCAATCACTGCCATCCCAAAAAAAAAAAAAAAAACCTTCAACAAGCTTTCAGAGAGATCTGCCTCCACCTTTTGGCTGTCTTGTGATATTTTGTGGTGAAACTCGCTTGTTTTATGTGTGTTGGTGCCTTTTGACAGCTGCGGTACTTTAATCTCACATATTTATCGATTGGATTAAAGTAAGGCATGATTTCCTTAGAGATAGTGATGCGGACACACAGTAGTGGCCAGACAATATGTGCCAAGAGGCAAGGGAGAGAACAGGGAACTCAATAATTGTTGTTGTTTCTGCAATATACTGCAATTTCCACCTGCACTGAGCCTTTTAAAAAACGACATCCATTGGTGTAATCTCATGTAATCAAACTGATTCATGCTATTTTTTGGCTAATTATGGTTATTTATAACTGCCTTTCAATAGTAATTTTAAATTATCTTGTGGCGTCACAAATTCATATTAATATATATATATATATATATATATATTAGAGGTGTAACGTTCAAATTATGGGTTTGTTTGTATCATGGTTTCGGTACAGTTCAGTATTTTCTATGGTAAAAAAAAGACTTCTGTCAAATAAAAATAAAAGAATGTAAGGACAAATAATCAAACTAGATGCAAACAGCACAAATAAATAAAACAGAACAAAGATATAAATAAAAGAAACAGTGATTTTTTTTTAGGTTTTCCGAGTAGGTCTAGTATATGAAGCGAATAAAGTAATTCAATGTAAAAAAAAAAACAAAAACATTGTATATAAACTTCACTGTATGAAGTAAAATAAAGATCAATATTTATTAAACTTACAAAAGTGTCATTTGTCATTTGATTAACAAAAACACTGACAGAAGAAGGAATACTAGGCTGCTGTCTCTATCTATCTATCTATCTATCTATCTATCTATCTATCTATCTATCTATCTATCTATCTATCTATCTATCTATCTATCTATCTATATCCATCCATCCATACCTATCTATCTATTTCTATATATATATATACTGTATATATATATATATATATATATAGAGAGAGAGAGAGAGAGATCTTTATTCATCTATCAATGTATAATATATATATATATATATATATAGATATATAGATATATAGATATATATATGAAGAGTTCAGATGCAAAAGCCTCTAAATGCCATTTGAAATTTTCTTCTAAAATGCTAATTTTTATCAAGCTTATATATTCAAGTTCAGTAATTTAACTTAAATGACAATTAATAGGTAATCCTCATTGCAATTTAAGTGAAATTACTGAACTTAAATATACAAGCTTGATAAAAATGATCATTCTAGAAGAAAATTTCAAATGGCACTTAGAGGCTTTTGCATCTGAACTCTTCATATATATATATATATATATATATATATATATATATATAATTAAAATTTCATGTAAATTTCCTATTAAGAAGTATATTGTGCATTACTCAGTCAGGAACTCTAATAAAACCTTTTTAATTTAAAGTATATTAATATGATTCAGTGATAAATACGCACACACACACACAATAAATAGTGCAACAATAAGAGGCATTCTCACAATTATGAGGTTTAAATGAAACACTATCCATGCAGCCAACAACACAGTCTGACCTATCCAATCTACCTGTCTGGGACTATTAACACAAAAGAGAGCCAAACACACACTTCATCTCTATGCAGTCTGGATACTGGACGTCTCCGTGACCCACTAACCCTCTTCAGACGCGAGATGACACCGGCGCGCGCGCAAGCACACACACATACACACACACACAAAGACTGACCATTACAAATGATCAGCACGCGGTATTTAACTCTCTCCGGAGCTGCAGTGCGCTAAATATATCGATGCCGTCTACCTAACACACATACAACCGACTGCGTAATGCTGCCTTTCCATGCGTAACGGGCTACGGGACATCTAAATAGAGGCTTCAAGTGTAGACAGGATACCCCCCCACCCCACTTTCCAGACACGTCAGGGGTCCTGTGAAGGAGACCACCAAGTAAACGAGTATGAACAACTGAGCCGTGTGTAAATGTGATTTAAATCACCTCGTTCTGTCACTTCCACTGCTGTCAAGGTCAGACGTCCTATTGTATCATGTCACCGTATCGCTTACAAAGTCTTCACTTAAATTATCCCAGGGATATAAATCTCATTAAACGGATCCGCTCACCAGCTCCAGGCTGACGCTTACACACACACACAACACACACACCTTTTAACAGGTAGAGAGAGAACAAGTGATCATTTAGGGCGTCTTGTGTCTCGTCTGGCACTGAGATGTCTGGTTGCCTGACGCCTAAATTCCCAGTGACGACTACATTATGATAGTTGGATTAACAATGGATTACTAAGCATTGCAATTGGATTGCATCGTCTGAAATAAAACTGCATGCATTTAAGATGCATCAGCATTTGCAACCATCCATAAAGCTGCGTATGACAAATGACTTGGGCAGATACTCTGAACCCGTTCAAAGCATCACAACTCACAACTAAATACAGGCTGTATCTAACACACACAGTGGGTCCTTGTGTTTAAGGCATCGTGGAGTAAAACACACACACACACACACACACATATAGAGAGAGAGCCTGAATCGCAGCCATATTATCCCCAGCCTCCCAGTGCAGTAACCATGACAACAGGATGGCTGGGAGACACTGCGCTCTCTCAAAAGGCTTCGGCTGGTGCTTTCTTCCTTCCAAAATAGAGCCCAGAAGCTTTTCAAGAGCACCTCGTCCTCCATATAAAACAGAAGGGGTCTCTCTCTCTCTTTCTCTGGCATTTAAAAACACCCAGGCCACGCATATAACCCGAGAACACGTTGCATTTTCATGCATACTATAGAGAAAATAACTACCGGCACATCAAATGAAAGCAACTTAACATGCAAGCTTTATATGTGCATCAAAGAGCAAAAGCATTGACATGAGCATAAAATGCGAACCCGTTTGTGATGCACGCGATAACCCAATTAAGGTTGGATATAAGATATAATATAGGCTACTCACCGCCAAAAAATGCGATTCAAATCCGTGCAGCAAACGAAGCAGTTTCGGCAGCGCGCGCACGTCTTGTCTGTCTCATCCGAGCGGATCTATATGATGTTTTTAAGGAGGAAGCTCTGCAAAAGGCTTGTTGGAACCGAGTCTGACACCTGCCGTTTCCACAGCACACCGCTACCGACAGACCAACCGGCTGCGCGTGAGAGCTCGGCTGTGTGTGTGTGTGTGTGTGAGCGCGCGAGCTGCGGCTGTCTCGTGCCCCCGCGACGCGCTGTACGAGCAGCAGTTCAGACTGTTGCTCACAGACTTTACACATCAATAATACATTATACAGCACAATTCATGAGCACTGGGGGGGTTTAAGGAGAATGTTCAGACTCATTCGTCTTATATAAGCCATCATGTCAATTCAAAATCAATATGACAAGAAAAAAGGAGACATTTGCATACCATAAGGTTGGTTTCACTTCTCTAAAAATTTGGGGTATTTGTGTATGAGCAGTTGGTCTTACATGTTTTCACTCTCCCTTGAGAGACATGATAAAATGCTTAGATTTAAACGAATTCTATTAAAAATATACATATCATCTGAATATCAAGACTGTTTGTCCCCAGTGTTGAATACCACCATTACATTAGTTTGTAAA